CAGTCTACGAGGGTACGCGGATGACTCTCTCCCCTCTCGTTGTTATGCATCACCATGATCTTGCGTGTGCGTAGGATTTTTTTTGAAATTACTACGTTCCCCAACAGGGTGAAGGAACTCGGTCAAGCCCCGAGCCGCTCCGAGGAACGTCGGGCGCGTGGGGCGCGGTGTCACCGGCGAAACCTGCCCAGCAGCCAAGGTGGGAGGCGTCGCCGGAGAGCTCGGTGACGATGAGGGGGGAGGGGTAGGTTGGGTGGGGTGGGGGTGGGGGTGGGTTGGGATGGAGTAATTATTAGGGGAGCAACTAGTTAACGAGCGCTCCTTCGGGAGCCTCACAACAATCAGCGTCACTTGGCACGCTCTCAGCAGCCCGCCACGTGTCGCGCTCTGGGCGCTCCCTCTGAATTTTATTCTATTTTAAATTTTTACGCACACGTTTTCGTTTTTTTTTTAACTTTTTTAAACGTTTTTTTCGACGTTTCGGTTTTCCACCGGTTTTCCTTAGCTTTTGGAGCAATTCTTTTTGCGCGAAAAATGCGTATTTTCCTTTCATGAGAGTCACGGTTTTGGTTCCGGGAGAGGCACAACTGTGCTTTCGCAAAAGACATGACCGTGCCTCTCGGAAACGAAAAAATACACGTTTGTTTTTTCCTTCTGCGAGAGGCACGGCCATGCCTCTCGTAAAAAAACGTGTTTTCTGTCTTTTTTCCTTCCGCGAGAGGCACGATTGTGCTTTCGCGAGAGTCACGGTCGTGCCTTTCGGAAACGAAAAAAACGTGTTTTCTATTTTTTTCCTTCCACGAAGGCACGGTTCTGCTTTCACGAAAGTCATGGTCGTGCCTCTCGGAAACGAAAAAACGCGTTTTTTATTTTTTCCTTTCGTGTGCCTCTTTCGGAAAGGGAAAAAGCCGTGCTCGCGGTTCGGTTTTTTCGTCCGGTTTTTTTGTCTGGTTTTCTTTTCTGAGAAAAGTTCGTCAAAACCTATTAACATGTTCGACGCAAGGAATCCAACGGCGAAAACGGTTCGAGATTTAGACGCATGGTTTAAGAGATAAATTTTGAATAAAAGGATCTACGAAAAAAGGGAAACTCCCAGGTTGCGACAAGTGGCGCACATGCCACTTGTCGCAACCTGGGAAGGTAGAAGTGATCTTTGCAATGAGTACTCCTCAATTAGTGATTTCAAATTATTAGGCCCCTCCCAATGTTCCACCTTGTACAGGTGCTGAGGCTGCCACATAGGCAAAAAGTCTAATGTAGCAAGGTAATTAAGAGGAGAGAGATGAGTGTGGTGACCCCAGGAAGAAAAAAATGCCAAGCGCGAGAACCTAGGCAAAACACTTAAATTGAAAGGATCCCACCAATGCATAATGAACTTTAGTTACAAAATTATTAAATGAAGGATGCTTAGCACCAACAAATTAAGCACCTATGCATTGGAAACTTTAGTTGCTAAAGTTTTTAATGTGCTTAGCACCTCATATAAGCACCAATGCATTGGAACTAGCCTTAGCGATCTTCTTCTGGACACTTCAGAACTTTTTCAGCAATGCACCTTCATCTTTGAAGGTCGTAGCAGTAATCAAGAGGCGCATAGCCTTGCTAAACACACTTTTGGTCTGGATTTAAGGCGTCATTCATGACTGTTAAACCCTTCAGTTTTGAATTGTATCCCTATGAACATTCCTAAGTAATAAAGCAGTGTGTTTAGATGCAAAAAAGAAAAAGAAAAATTAGCAATCTTCTCTCAAAACAATATATACCACTGTCCGAGTTCCGTCAAAATAATAATACCACAGTCCGAGTCGACATCTCCAGTGTGTCGAGATGATGCTGGATGATATTTGGGTAGCTCCTCTCTAATTGTTCGAGGAATTATCGACGTAGCCACACTCAAAACAATGGCATGCGGAGAATCTTTGACTCTTGCAGAAGACATAATCATTCAAAATGTTATAATTGTCTCTGACTCAAAGCAAATGGTGAACGACATTGAAAGAGGGACTAGTAGCATTTATGGTTGTATCATTAGTGATATTAAGCAGCGAGCTAGTTAGTTAATTGTAAGTTCACTTTTGAAGGGTAGGGCATCAAACACTGATGCATATAGGTTAGCTAAGTTTTCAAACACTCTTGATCAGGGGCGACATCTCCATCCTCATGATTCTTTTTTGTACCACTTATCAATAAAACTTAGCTATACCCCAAAAAATAACATACCACATTTTTCTTTTTTTTTACTTTTTTTTGCGAGAAAACTTATGATCTATTCATCTTTAATCATGACAGTAGAACACTAGAAATGATAAAAATTACACCCAGATCCATAGACCACCTAGGGACGACTATAAGCACTGAAGCAAGCCGAAGGCGCGTCACTGCCATCGCCCGGGCGAAACTTGTCGTAAAAGAAAGTTAGGAAGTCGTCATGCTTAGGCCTCGTTGGACTAGCGCACCAGAACAACAACCGCCATCGATGAAGAATAGCGTAGATCAGAAGGGTCCGGCCTGAAAACAAACGAAGTAGGTGAATGATGACCAGATCCTAGCAAATCCACCAAAGACAGATCCACCAGACACACCTCCACACGCCTACCGACGATGCTATACGCACAACCGGAACGGGGCTAGACAGGGAGAAGCTTATTCCATCTTCAGGGAGCCGCCACCCGCGTCGTCTTTCTGAGAAGGACAAAAACCCTAACAAAACTCAAAGAAATATTTTAAAAACTGAGCCTTCCCGCCGACAAGGGCCGGGAATCACCACGGTTCCATTTCCCTAAGACTAGCGGAGGCGAGGTGGACCGGCGGCGGCCCCGGCAAGAGGCGAAGGAACCCTAACATTTTTGGACGAGAGGAGCAAGAGGCGGTTTTTTTATAGTTTACTATTGCTTTCTTAATTATCGATAAGGTAGTTAGATTTTCCTAATTTAATTATCGATAAGGTAGTTAGATTTTCCTAATTTAATTTATAACTCTATTCTTTCTATTTAAGCATATATTTTTTGAGAATATTTATGTATGTATCGGGACACAAGCCTTGAATTTTCTCCAAAGAAAATAGTATTTGGAGAGGAATGTCACTCTACGGTGTATGTGCCATTTCCTTTGTAGACGGCTAGACGCTGAAGTGTCCAGCGTCGGATACCAAAACGCAAGAAAAACAAAGAAACGACGGACCCCCACCAACTTGCCGCCCGCCACGGAACCCTCCTGCGCCTTCCGTAAGCTCCGCCTCTCCCGGAAATTTGCTCCCTTCCGTCGCTCGCACTGTAGTCATCCTTGTCCTCTCGCTCGAGTTGTACGCGCCGGAGATTTGGGGGACGATTTCCGATTGCGGGTTCTTCCAATTTTACTTTGGATGCTGGTGCGGCGTCTGTGCGCAAAGTTGTACTAAGTGAGCGTCAATTAATATGGATCGGAGGGAGTAGTTCTTTTCGTTTGAAAAAAAAAGGAATCCTTGTTCTTTTCAGTAGCTAGAATTTAGCAAACTAGCAGTACTATATCTTTGTTTCTTGGCCTGAGGTACAACATCATGCAAAACTGAGAAACCCTACTGTGGACATCAGTGTTGCCTTTTCGTGGAATATTTGTTGCATTGTTGCGTTGTGAGGTGATGGGTGTTGGTGATGTATGTCCTGATGCGATGCGAGACATTTGCACCGGATGCATGCATTTCCTTTGGCAATAAAGTGTCCCTGATGAGTGCATTTGGAAGCCAAGCCCTGAACTCAAAATGCTGCCGCTGTTGATATCTAGGTAAGTGACAAGAATAACGACCGACTTAATAGGCGTATGATGTGAAAGTTCAGGAGGTTCCTTAATGATCTAGAAATCGTGGAGTCCCTTTTCTCTGGATGACGCTTAGCGTGGTCCAAGGAGCGGTTGCAGCCAATACTCACCAAGATTGACCGATGTTTTTTCTCTATGTTTTAACATTCTTTTCAACCTGAAAGTTAATATACTCCTTATTTCCTTATTATCTCACTGGGATGTTGTGTTCAGAATCTCATTCTATCTGAAAATATATTCAGTCTTGGTAGTGTAGTGATTACAGAAAGGCAGACTGACTGTTATCCATATATGCATAAACGAGAATTCATATTATTGTGCCTGGGAAATTGCACTGGACACTATGCTGTTCATTTTGGTTTATATGAACCGTGTAGTTTCTTCAAGTTTACATTTGACTACTAAAGTATTGATCAGCGAAGTTACACGCTTTTCAAGCCAATAACCAAACTGCTGTAATTCCCTTTTCGAAGCAAAAAACTTTTGTCCATAAGCACACTGTAGTTACCTTGAAATTAAGGAGATATCACCCATAAATACAAAGGGAAGAAAAAAAATTAAAATCTCCAAAATTCCTGAATATCCCATCAGTCATATTGGCAAATGACCAGCATCTCTACTCCAGCTCCCAATTTTATTTTATTTTGCCAAAATTACTTTAAAGGTGAACGATTGGTGGCAGCAAATGCTTTTCTGATGAAGAAGCGACATAAATAATTTACGCTTGGCTCAAAGTTGTGTCCGTGCCTTGAATGAGATCCCAATTTACCAAGCATGCTATACAATATGTGATCTCCCATACATTGTTAATTAAACAAGCATTACTGTCTATGATCTCCTTTTCTTTGTACCTGGATTCTTCAGCTAGCTTAGCACTAGCACAACAGTTGGAAAACTGCCATCAAACAATTATTTGGTCAGCAGCAAATCTGAATACTAGCTGGGATGCTCCAGAATAACACCAGGGAGGTACAATTTACAGTACAGTACGTTTCATCATACCACAGGATGGTACCTACACTACTAATTAAGTTGACTTAACACTAGAGTCAGTACTACTTGCTGTAAACAGGGAGCAGACACAAAGAGCAGCAAGAGTAAACTGAACTGATAGCAAATTAAGTCACTGCATGCATGCACGCACACATACATAGTCAAAAACACTAGCTAGCTGAAGTTGAGCAAGTCAAAATGACTTACTGAATCATTCAGAGCACCGCCTCGATGCTCAGCTGCTTCGTAAACATGTAACGTTTGGACTTGTGCTTAATCATACGAAGGCCACGAATCATCCCTTTGCCTTTGCTGCCGTTGTTGGCATTGTTGCCATCGTCTTTGCTGGTGCCATTGTTGCCACTATTGCAGTTGAAATTGTCTTTGTTGACGCCATTGCCATTGCCGTACACTACCTCCATACCAGTAAAGAGGGCAAATTGCTGGCCAGTAACCATCTCGCTGCTGTCCTTGTCGAATTTCATGTCATTAAAGAAGCCAGCAAAGAAGAACCTGCCTGAGCCGAGGCTGATGATCTTGGAGTCGCACAATTCATTCGGCTGCCACGTGCACTCCTCTGGCAGGTCATCATCCTCCCAGATCCGCAACTTGTCTGGCAGCGGCTCCTCCCCTCTGACAACGCCAGAGAGGTCGACAGCGATGGGGAGGCGGCGTGAGAGGCCAAACCAGAGCCCGAGCTCCGGGACGTACTCCGCTTTGCCATTGAACGGCATGATCCAGTCGCCAGCCTTGCTCCACTCGCGAGTCGCGGTGTGGAAGCAGTAGGTGCCGGTGCCCTCTGCGCCAGAGATGGAGAAGCAGATGGTGTCACCGCCGACAAGGGCGTGACCGTAGACCAAGGCGTGCTTGTGGTGGATGATCCACGGGGGCAGTGGGAGGATGTCGCAGTGCCAGGACCTGCGACATGCGGCGGACGGGCGGCGGCCCCTCCACAGCAGGGCCTCGAACTGCGGCCGCAATTCCGCCATGTCCGGGTGTAGGACCTGATCGATGATGTAGAGATCGCCCGTGTCTTCGCCATCATGGAGGTGCAAGGCCGACGGAGGGACGGAGATGGCCAGCGGCGAGTCCTTGTGCTGGTGGAGGTTTGGCATGCTATCGATGCAGCGGCAGTGCTCGCCCGTGTCAAAGCGGAACAGGTTGTTGGCGCGGTCCCCCAAGATGACCTTGTTCTCCGACGCGGTGGGGAAGAAATGAATGACATGATTGGTCGGCAGGGAGGACGAGACTACCGGCGGCCTCATCATCACCTGGCTTTTTGGAGACTTGATCTTGGGCGCCGCCGCCTCCGCCGCCGCCAAAGCAGTCTTGAAGCTTCTTCTCCTGTTGGGCGCCCAGGCCTTGGCGGGCGTCAGTGTTGGCACCACCTTCGCATGCGCGGCCGTCTCTTCTACCGATTGGTGAAAAAATTCCATCTTGGAGAGGTCTAGGCGCCGCAGCGAATAGACGCGTTTGAGCTGGTCATACACCCCCAGATTTACGAACCGCCTACCGCCGCCGCTCATCTCCCACGATCTACTCAGTATGACCCTGCTCTCCTGGGTGGGTCAGACGTTGTAGATTGAAAAGAAATAAGGACAAAATTGGATCAAAATCGAAGCAAATTGACACAGATCTACCGGCGGCGAACATGGATCAGAACGGCGGCGGGAGGGAGGAGGTAGGTTAGTATTGTCGTCTCGCCGAGTTATTTGCCCAAAACCACCGGCTAGGTAACAATTTAGTACCATATTCAAGTCAGGTCACAAAAAATCACAAAAAATGCATTTAATGTGGAACGCGATTGTCTTATATTCACCTACGAAAAATAGCAAAACCGACAAGTTGACCCCACTTGTCAAATATTTCGTTGAGGTGGCCCAAGGTCCTTGAGGGAGTTCCGGACTAGGGGGTGTCCGGATAGCCGAACTATCATCATCGGTCGGACTCCAAGACTATGAAGATACAAGATTGAAGACTTCGTCTCGTGTCCGGATGGGACTTTCCTTGGCGTGGAAGGCAGGCTTGGCGATACGGATATGTAGATCTCCTACCATTGTAACCGACTTTGTGTAACCCTAGCCCTCTCCGGTGTCTATATAAACCGGATGGCTTTAGTCCTTAGGACGAACAACAATCATACCATAGGCTAGCTTCTAGGGTTTAGCCTCCTTGATCTCGTGGTAGATCCACTCTTGTAACACACATCATCAATATTAATCAAGCAGGACGTAGGGTTTTACCTCCATCAAGAGGGCCCGAACCTGGGTAAAACATCGTGTCCCTTGTCTCCTGTTACCATCCGCCTAGACGCACAGTTCGGGACCCCCTACCCGAGATCCGCCGGTTTTGACACTGACATTGGTGCTTTCATTGAGAGTTTCTCTGTGTCGTCACCATCAGGAAGGATGCCTTTTCCCGTCTTTAAAGACGATGCCATCGTCAAGGGAGCTTTGGCCGCCGGCCAGACTATCCGGCTTGGCGGTTTTCTCATGACCGCCTGTTCGGCCACCGCCCCGACAATGACCTCTCAAGTCACTAAAAGCGATCTTCACGTCAGCTCGGAGTTCGCCGAACAGCTAGATCCGATTGAGCTCTCCTCCGTAAACGAGCTCTTGGATCGCATCGCCGCCCTGGGAGTCGCTACCGACTACGATCAGATTGCGCTTAAAACCGATCTGAGAGAAATTAACTCTGCCCAGGTTACCCACCACGTTGTCGTGGTAGAGGAACAATGCGGCGACTCTTCTTCTTCTATGTTAAAAACCAACTACGTCCGGGTTCCGGATCCCTCCATGTCGGATTCCCGCGGAGGGACGGACGCTAATCAAATACTGAACCTAAAGTCAGGCATCGGACCAGATTCGTTGGAAAGCGCTCAGCAAACCAAGCTTCCGAATCCGGAAGCTTCTTGGCCTTTGAGCCTCAGATCGGGCGGGGTTCCGAACTTAATTCCACCCGCCCACCCAAACATAAGCGATCTATCTCAAATACGGCAAGTGCCCGATGAAACAGTACATCATTAGTGGGCCAGATTCCTCCTGGTTATGAACAGGATAAAGGACTGCCGTGAAGAAAGCGCGATTTCAATCCTCTACAACAACTGCACGGACAAGGGAATCATAAACGCCATGAGTCATCGCGAAGTTACACGCTTCGCTGACCTAGCGACCATTGTACAAAAATACTACGCGATGGAGAGTGCCTGGAAAACCAAAACTAGGTTTTGGGACAATCCGGCCCTGAATACAACCCCAGTCCGAAATAAAAGGGTGCATCATACTCAAGCACCTGGGTTAAAAACCAAAAAGCAAAAACCCCCTAAAGGGTACGGAACCGTACTCGAGGGATGGCTCAACGGACACTGCAAAATCCACAGTACGGAGGGCGCCACTCCAACACATAGCCTTCGAGCATGTTGGATACTACGGCAGGTGGCCAAAAGTGGCGTAGGCTTTTTAGCCCCGGGCAACCAACCCAGCAGTACCAGTACGATACTAACAGTCTTCGAGACTTTCGCATCAAATAATATGCAGAAACGAACAATCCGCAGCCTCGCCGAAGTCTACCAAGTAGCAACAACAAATCCATGGAGCGACACGGCTATCACCTTCAATGCCAGCGACGAACCTAAATTCCGAACAGCTAGAGCACCAGCCGCATTGGTCCTCAGTCCGATAGTGGACGATTTCCGTCTTACTAAGGTGCTCATGGATGGCGGCAGCGGATTAAACCTCATCTATGAGGAAACCCTTCACAAAATGGAAATTGACTGGAGCCGCATTGAGCGAAGCAGCACAACCTTCAGAGGAATAATCCCTAGTCGAGAAGTACGCTGCGCAGGAAAAATCACACTAGATGTAGTGTTCGGCTCACCGGACAATTACAGGTCCGAAGAGGTCACGTTCCAAGTGGCCCCATTCGGCAGCGGATATCACGCTCTGTTAGGGCGAGAGGCATTCACAATCTTCCAAGCTATACCCCATTACGGGTACATGAAGCTCAAAATACCCAGACCCAATAGAATAATCACTCTCGCCAGTGATCCAGATATAGCAGTCCGCGCTGAAAATAAGATAGCCGCACTGGCCCTAGAGGCATTGTCCGAAGCCCTAGTGGCAGAGGAACTAACTGCGCTGCGCTCCACGGTGGACAGGGACGATGTGATACTCGATAAGAGGTCCAAGTTGACCTCTTTTAAACCAGCAGACGAAATAGTCAAATTTCAGGTCCATCCAATGGACCCCACAAAGACGGCCTCCATTGGGGCACAATTAAGTCCTGATGTCGAAGCCGCACTACGAGAATTCCTTCGGGAAAATTGGGATATTTTTGCCTGGCACCCTTCAGACATGCCAGGAATCCCACGCAGGCTGGCAGAGCACAGCCTAAATATCCTAAAAGGATTCAAGCCAGTCAAACAAGCTCTTCGGCGATGTTCTGAACCCAAAAGACAGGCAATGGGAGAGGAGCTAGCCAAACTCTTAGAAGCCGGATTCATCAGAGATATAAAATATCCGGACTGGCTAGCCAATCTAGTAATGGTACCAAAAAAGGACAAATCCTGGCGCCTCTGCGTCGATTTTAAAGACCTTAACAAGGCCTGTCCAAATGACCCTTTCCCTCTCCCCCGCATCGACCAAATCATCGATGCTACCGCAGGGCACGATTCATTGTGCTTCCTCGACGCATACTCCGGATACCATCAAATCAAGATGGCGGAGAAAGACCAGGCCGCAACGGCATTCATTACTTCATATGGGCCATTCTGCTTCAACACAATGCCCTTCGGACTCAAAAACGCCGGCGCAACATATCAGCGCATGATTCAAACATGTCTGGCTACCCAGATAGGCAAAACAGTAGATGCATACATAGACGATGTGGTCGTCAAGACCAAACACGTCGAAACTCTGGTAGAAGACTTGAGGGTGACATTCGACAACCTTCGAGCATATGACATTAAGCTCAATCCGGAAAAATGCGTCTTCGGAGTACCAGCCGGAAGCTCTTGAATTTCATTGTATCCGGTAGAGGAATTGAAGCAAACCCGGCCAAGATCCGAGCTCTGGCACAATTGGATATTCCAAAAGACCTCAAGCAAATACAAAAACTAACCGGATGTGTAGCGGCCTTAAGTCGCTTCATCTCCCGTTTGGGAGAAAAGGCTTTGCCCCTCTACCGCCTCCTCCGGCGCACCGAACGTTTCGAATGGACGGATGTTGCCACAGCCGGACTCGAAGAAATAAAGGCCATACTGGCAACAAATCTAGTCCTGGCCGCGCCCAACCTGGGCGAACCTATGTTATTATACATCGCAGCAACACATCAAGTCGTCAGCGCGGTACTCGTCGTCGAACGAGAAACAGAAGGGCACAGATTCCCTCTTCAAAAACCAGTGTACTACGTATCCACTGTTCTAACTCCATGCAAGTCCCGGTACCCACATTATCAAAAGATAGCGTATGCAGTGTTCATGGCATCCCAGAAGCTGCGACACTACTTTCAAGAGTGTTCCATAACGGTGGCCTCCGAAGTACCTCTCAACGATATTATAAACAATCGCGAAGCAACGGGCAGAATTGCAAAATGGGCTATTGAGCTCTTACCATTTGACATAACCTACAAACCATGGCGAGCTATAAAGTCGCAGGTTCTGGCTGACTTCGTCGCCGAATGGACCAAAGCCGAACTCCCTAAAGAGTACGGCACGTACTCCAATTGGATCAAGCATTTCGACGGATCCAAAATGTTGGCTGGCTTGGGGGCTGGCGTCGTCTTGACGTCCCCAACTGGAGACACAATCCAATACGTACTTCAAATAATGTACATGGACTCCAACAACGCAGCCGAATACGAGGCCCTTCTACATGGCCTCCGGATGGCAATCTCCATGGGCATTCAACGCCTAGAGGTGCGCGTGGATTCAAACATCGCAATATCCCAAGTAAATGGAGACTTTGACGCCAAAGATCCAAAAATGGCAGCTTACCGCAACGCCGTCCTAAAAATGTCAGCTCGGTTCGAAGGACTCGAATTCCACCATGTAGCCCGGGATAATAAACAGGCAGCAGACGTGTTAGCACGCATCGGCGCGAAACGAGACGCTGTTCCTCCAAACATCTTCCTGGAATGGCTCTTTAAGCCATCCGTATTATGGGAAGAGGAGTCCGGAAATAACAATCCGGAGCCAGCTGCATCACCTAACTCAGACCATTCTGACACAATCGGCGGCTCAGCCAATGAAATAACACCCTCATCCCACGAAATAATGGCAGTAATTGCCCCGTGGACAGAACCATTCCTAGCCTACTTAATCCGGCAGGAACTTCCCGAAGACCAAAATGTGGCCCGCTGCATAGTTCGGCGATCTAAAGCCTACAAGGTTCATGAGGGAGAACTTTATAAGAAAAGCACAACCGGAGTCCTTCAAAGGTGTATCTCCGAAGAGGAAGGGCGAAATCTATTGGCTGAAATTCACGCCGGACTCGGCGGGCACCACGCTGCAGCCCGGGCCCTTGTAGGC